CCGGGAGCCCGCGCGCCGCCGGAGCGTCTCGGTTGCCAGGGCGACGCCGCCGCGGTTGGCCCGCTGGGGAGGTGCGGAGTCCACCCGGGTCTGCGTTTCTCCCGGTCCCAAGAGGGCGTCGCCGTCGCCCGGGTCTGCGCCCGAAGTGCCAGTGAGTTCGGGCGCGGGGTGGGCGCGGGGTGGGCGGGGGTGGGCTTGCGCGTCTGCGGGGACAGGGGTCGGGGTGAAGCCGGCTGACGGGAAGGAGGAGAAGCTCCCAGACGTCGGGGCTCCCCCGCCGCGGAGCCTCGCCGGAGTCTGGAGTGCTCAGCGCTAATGCCCACTTCTGTTGCCTGAGTAGAGGTCCCGGCTGAAATGGTATTTTTATGATTTAAGCCAAGCTAAAAACTGAAACAGAGAATTCTCGCTGCCCACGGATGAGGAAAAACAAAGTAGCTTTAATGTTTGGATCATTTTAGCAAAGGTGCAGGACTCCCCGAGGGCCCTCGAAACTGAAAGTAAAGTGGATTTATGCCAAACTTCCAGAACTTTTATGTCCACACATGAAATCTGATTTTGTGATAACGCTGGGTAGATGATGTAAATGATGTCATCCTCTAGTTTTCTGAAGATGATTTGAATCAATCCGACTGTATTGCCACCAGAATAAGTCGATGAGGAGGTGCATGAAATGCATTGTTGTTCGTGACCATCTGAGTAATCCAACAGACCACGTTCCTGGTCAGTTTTATGAAATAAAAATACGTATTTGGTTTCCTTGGAAACACAAGGAGCAGTAACTCAGCGTTGTGACAACCTGTAGGCTCTCGAACCCGTCCGGCCTGGTCTTGAAAGGCTCTCTCTTCTACCACTATTCCTAAAACCACAGTTTACAGAATTTTCTAGAACATTTTAGGTGAGGAAAAATTTTTTCACTGTTTTTCTCTACTCCTCGCTTCCTGTCCTTGTCTTAATTTTTTCTTCTATTGGTGTACACGTGAGGCTTACTTACGCCCCCAGGACTTATCTGTGAGTTAGTCATGCAAAAGAATCCATCTCCAAGTGTTTTCTGTGTACATTGTTTTGCAAATCTTAAAGACTAAGGAATTAAAATTTCCCCGTGAGTTTGATGAGCTGTTGAAGTATCTGTCCATCTACCTGTCTTACAACCAGAGGGCTCAGGTCTATACCTGCCTTTGCTTTTGTATACAGAACTTCATTAACCTGATACTCAAGTCGTCTGTGTCTATTTCCTCCTCATAATTACATTCAAGCTTTGCATTTTTGTCAAAATTGATACAAAGGAGATATTGTGTCCCCCAGTGGCATGTTTGCCTTTTGTACAAATTTCATGTACTGTATATGGGCTCATACAATATTCCCTAAATCCAAGCCATCCTGTAGCCAGAAGTTAGATATGTAACTTCAGTTTGAAGGTCACTGATAACTATGAGAAATATTTTCAACCATTTGTATCTATTCCTTGCCAATCACTACATCACTGTTTAATCTTGGTTTCCTGCCCAAGTCCTGTATTAATTTTCAGAATGTACTTACTGCCTTTGCTTAAAAAAAAAAAGTCATTGTAGAGATGGGATGTGGCTCAATGTAGAGTGCTCTCCTTGCAGATACCAGGCTGTCAGTTTGATCCCCCAAAATAAATAAATAAATGGCATTTTATGTGTCCAGGGGAAAGGGTTAGAAATAAAAGTGCAGTAGGACCTCAGGAGAAGCCTGCTTTGTGCCAGATAAGGAGCTAACAGTACAAACCCTACCTAATAAATAGTTTTTTTTAAAGGGGTAGCGGAAGTTGTGAGCATAGCCCTGGTGCAAAAAGCCTACCTCTGAGGATTGGGCAAAGCTCCTTGGATAAGACATCTGAGTGACAGGGTAAAAGATGAAGAGGATTTCAGGGTCACACATTCCAGGCAGTGGTGTAAGGAGAGCTTGGACGCTTGAAAGTGGGAAAGAATCTGAGAGAGTGTGGGAAAGCTAAACTGGGGCCGCAGTGGAAAGGACTCTAAGTAGCGTTCTACAGCTTATACCTCACTCTGCAACCTTAGAGACCAGGAGATATTTTTGTGGAAGGATGATATCTGATCATACTATGTAATGTTGATAAAGATGTGTTTGGTGTAATGGATGTAGATATAAAGAGCAAAAGATGAGACACTTTAAAATAGCTTTATTGGGGCTGGGGATTTAGCTCAGAGGCAAAAGCACCTGCCTGGCAAGTGCAAGGTCATGAGTTCAGTTCCCGGTACCAGTGAAAAACCAAAAAAAAAGCTTTATTCTGACATAATTTACAAGTACAAAAATTTCCATATAGCTAGGCTCATTCATGGCTTACATTTTGCTCCCCAGTTTTATCATTTCCCCTCTGTCAGCCACACTCTCCCTCTCTCTTTCTTTCTATATGTATATGTGTGTGCATGCGTGTACATGCTGTACATATGCATATAATCACTGGGGATCGTTGGAGGGTGAGGTGTACACATCATGTTCCTCTTGCCCTTAGACACGTCAGCATTTATTTCTTAGGAACTGTGCTTTCTCTCTCCTTCCTGGAAATCGTACAGTGCGCTGGCACTGCTCATCTTTGTCCCAGAGGCTCGGAGGTTTTGTTCACCTTCCATCTCTTCTCTGGTGCAAGTCATTTGAAAAACCTGCAGACTGAGCGTTTCAGATAATCCCTCAATCGCGAGGGAAGCGTGTGCATGTTCTGTTTTGAGGGGTCTTGTCTTGGAAGGTCCCAAACTCACCTTCCTGTTTCTCTCTCCCGTTGCTCTCCCGTCTCCAGCGAGCGCCTCAGCTTCCCCTCTGACCCTCCCCTTCCCAAGACTGGCACCAGGCTAACTGGTGCTGCCTTAATGCACAAGTATTTGTGATGTATTTTTCTCTTCTGAGGTGAATTTGAGTCTTTCCCAGTCCCTCTTCCTAACAGTTTGTCCAGCTCTCACCCCGCTGCCATCTTGGCTCTGCAGAGACTTTCACTGGCGTCTCTTCCAGAATGTGGGCTCTACTGTTCTGTGTAAGTGTTAGGTCCACTGTCTTTTTGTTATATTAAAGGCATTGGAGTCATGTGGTTTTATTTGTTCTGGCTGATTTGTATAGCGTTATAGAAGATATATGCAGAAATTAGATTTAGGCAATCGCTATTGTCCTTGGTTACCTCCAAGTTCCTCTCCTGACAAGTCCTTTAGGTATAATGTAGACTATGTTTGTGAACTGTGTGTAGAAGAAGATAAGATTGAAGGGAAAGCATTTGTTTTAGAATATGCTAATCTTGAGGTGAATCTGCTCACTGCTGTAGAGATGTTCACCAAGCAGTTGGATAGTTGTCCTGGATTTTAGGTAAGAAATTAGGAATCGCTGTTTCTAGAAACTCTAGTAGACCCTGCTAAGCTGGAACCAGAGACATAAATACTTTGTGGAATACCTGGCTTTGTCTGACTCTTACTTACATGCCAGGTGGTTCTTCCAGGAACACATAGATGAACATCTAAAGATGTTTAGAAAGCAGATAATGCTTCAAGATTACCTGGGAAAGTACCGTTTCTGCAGCTTTATTCTATTATATGCAGCAGTTTGGTTGCTATTACTGAGTGATCTACTTCATCTGAAGAATCAGTCCTTATCAAACCCGTTGGAAAAAAAGTAAAAATACCGATACATAGATCAGTAGATCATATAACTACCTAGAGGGAAATAAGGAAATAATACATAGACTAAAATTTCATGATTATATTTTGTGTCACATCCGTAGTTCCCCCAGCAACCATAGTGGTTATCACATAGGTTAAAGTCACAAGTCTGTGAAGTTCTATTCCAGTAACTTTCTGAAGCAAATTTCTAGTTTTTTCTGTTCTTTTGAAAGCCAGGTATTACTAGGGTAAAGCAAGGCAAATGTATGCACGCTTATCTGTAAATACCTTTAAGATAATAATACTTAGGTTAAAAATGTAGTCGAATTAATGGCATTTTCAGAATTTAATCTGTGATAGATTGTCTTTATGTTACTTGTGTGTATGCTTGAATTTTCTCCCTTTAATGGGGACTAGAATCCGCTTTAAAAACAGCAAAGCGTTATAAAATATATTGATAATATGTTGATAATCATTTATATGTTGATCATAATTTCCCTGTTGTATATTTTTATGGTAGCAAGTGAGAATAATTTCTTTCCACAGTGAGATCATTAGAATATTAGTGAATTAAAAATATATGGATACTCAGAGCGTGTGAAAGGCCCTGGGCTTGATCCCAGCATCACAAAAGGAAAAGAAAAGTATCTTCATTTTACCCAGGAGGTGGAAGGGTCTCAGATTCAAGCCCAACCTGGACAACATAGTGAGACCCTGTCTTAAAAAAAAAAAGTATACTCATTTGGAATGAGACATTTTACAGCTAATCAGTAGTTTCCCTAGATATTTTATTAAGCCTTGGATAAAATGATTTTTCAAGCTGTACATTCTTGTGAATTAACTGAGAGATCGTATCGAGTAGTGATTAAAATTGTGATCTTTGGAACCCGATAGCTGTCATGCTAATTCTATACTAGCCTTGCTGCACTCCAGCTTTCTCATCTATGTAACTGGATAAACATAACACCCACTAAAAATAAGTAAAAGTAAAGTAACACCTGCTCCGCAGAATATTTGTCCAGATTCTATGTAAATAGAACAATGCTGAGTGTTAGCTATTATAATTATTATTAGATTATAATCACAATATTCTGCCGGATAAAGGGGATTTGGGAAGCTAGTTAATTTTTCCTAGACCTGTTTAATTAAATTGGTTTTATTCATAATTTAATGTTTAATTTAGTGATAAAAATAATCAAGTGATGTAAGATTTAGAAAAATTAAACCCTGCATTTCCCTAGAAATCACAATGGATATGAAAGGACTCAGGAAGAATCGGAGAACTCTACCCCCTTTTCATGAATTATCATTTTCTTTGGGGACTAAGTTAGTCCCCTGTATAAATAAAGTTTAAAAGCAGTAAATAGTGCCCTAAAAGATTTTATTTTTAAAGGCTGCTTGTTCAGCAGCCCACATTCTCCTCCTCCTCTCCACCAGGGGGAAGTATAGCACTTCCTAACGTGTCTTATCACACAACTCCACAGTCATTGTGGTATTCATGGGAATTAGGATGAAAATTAAACACTGTATTCAAGAGTGTGATATATTCCTTCAGCTATATTTTACTGCATCATATTTTAATCATTTATTTGAAGATAGTGGAAACAACGGATTGGATAAGGTTCCTTCCCACAAATTTTTTTAATTTAACTGACATAAACACTGACCCATTATCAAAAATAATACATTTAGTCTTTGTGGTAGCTGGAAGAGCTACCTAGGTCTAAAGCAGCTAGCAAAATAACATCCAAGTATTTTAAATGGATTTAAAGTTAATCAGAAATAAACCTTTGGCAACCTGAGAAATTGTTTTTGTATGAACTATGAGAACATTGTCCTTTATAACGTGATTAAGATGAGTCAATCTTATTTTCCAGGTGCGTACACTGCAAGCCAAGCAGTACAGTAATTTAAGTCACTTGAACCATAATGGAAAAGTATGAAAAATTAGCTAAAATCGGAGAAGGGTCTTATGGGGTGGTATTCAAATGCAGAAATAAATCCTCTGGCCAAGTAGTAGCTATTAAAAAATTCATGGAATCTGAAGATGATCCCGTGGTTAAGAAGATAGCACTAAGAGAAATACGCATGTTGAAGGTAGGTGGACTTCCTCTCCATCTCTGTGTTTATGCTGTCCAGGTATTGGATGAAATATGGATGCTAAAAATACAAAAATTTTAAAGTCATATTTCTTCTCCATTGGTCTTACATTCCTTTGTATCAGCAACTTTGGGAATTAAATTGAGTATCGCTTTGGACCTTGGCCACTTTGATGTTTATCTGGTATGTGTGAGACAGCAGTAGCTGGAAACGATATGCTTCTATCCTGGTCAGAAATATCCACACTGCTCTAAGTCTAGTGTGTGCTCCCCTGCCCCGCTGTCCTCTGACAGTGCCCCACACTTTCCCCACAAGCCAGTAACCAGAAGAGCTCCAGCCCCCAGGACTGTCTGCCTTGGAGCCCCGCAGGCATTGGCCTTGAGTGGTCTCTGCCCGCACCGCCGGCTCTGCACCTGCTGAATATCATGCCCTGTGATCTATACACTTTCACATAAAGGTGAACAATCTTATCATTGTTTGTACCTATCATTGTTTATCTTATCATTGTCTTTACTTGGATAGAAGTTGGTATGTAAGAATTTTGTTCAATGTAGCTTTTTTTCCTCCTAAGCTAAAAATTCTAAATTTTTACAAAGTTAATGTACATAGGAATTACTTGGAGATTCTATTGAAATACCAAGTCTAGGGAGTCTGGGATGAACCCTGACAACCTACTTTTTTTCCCCCAGTAATGGGTTGAACCTGTGACCTCACACATGCTAGACAAGTGCTCTACCGCTGAGCTACATCCCATCCCTTTTTCTATTTTTATTTTTGAAAGAGTTTCACTGAGTTGTCCGTGCTGGTTGGGCTCAAACTGGCCATCCTCCTGTCTCAGCCTCCGGAGCAACTGGGATCACAGGTGTGAACCGCCACATCTGGTCGGGAATCTGCGTTTCTAACAGGCCTCCAAACCGTGGAGCGGCTGCTGCTGGAGGGTACACAGACCATGGCCCGCCTTCATTTGACAGGAGTCTTCTGTTCTTTAGGAAAACTTTCAGAAATTCAACTTGCAAAGGGGAGTAATAATCATATTATCGCTCTTTCAAATACAATTTTCAGCAGCTTTCCTCAACTAATACACTGTAGTGTTTTATTTAAGATATAGTTTGATACACAGTTTTCAACACATCTATTTTTAAAAGGTTTATTCTTTTAAAGCCCACCTCTAGCCAGCAGGGGACGCTAGTGAGCCATCCAGCTTTGGCCCCAGTACAGGGGCTGAATTACACAGTGAGTCTGGACCAGGCAGTGTTGTTTTATAATAAAAATAATGTTTTCTCTCTTCTCCTTCTCACTCCTAAGCCTTCAAATAAAGTTGATGACCTTCTGGGTTACAAGTTTCCCAATCTGGGAATAAACTTTGTGGTAAAAAAGAAGCCAGATTTCACTGCAGCTGTGTCTTCGTGATAGCTTTCAGAGGGTACACTCTCCTGCTTTTGTTACGTTGCACCCATGTATGCCATGTACACATTCCTTCCATGATAAATGGACCATATTTTCCTCACATATCCATGTTATTGAAATTTGATTTGCTTCCTCTGACTCGTGTTTTCTTCAGATAAGTTGTTTGCTTGAGCTAAATAAACCTCATTTGCAAAAGAGATATAATCTCTGGTCCATCCCCACAGACAGGAGGTTTGAGCAGGTGAGACTTTGACCTTACACCAAGCTGTATCACCTGTGAACCTCTTCCCACCTGGCAGAGAAACCACTTCACTTCCACACTCTGTTTTTGCTGTAGCACGTAGTACTTCCTCATCGATGAGATTTATCTCCACCACTTTTGACCATCTGCTCTTCTAGATAGTGGGAGACAGAAATTTCTACTGCACACCAAATGCTGTGTGCTCTCTTTTTATACATCTTTCTGGGTAAACGGTACAGGGTTTGTAAAATTGATTTATCTACTGTACTGGAAAAATAACGAGAAAGATCAGCTGTAAAGGGAAGAGATTGTGTATCTTGGTTTTCCCAGTACAATCCTGGTTTGTAGTTGTCTCAGTGTCCCATCTGGTCAGCATCCCCTTTCAAAACTGTCCTAGCGTGTGTTCTAAATTATGCGCTCATTCTAGCTTTAAGCAGAATAACCATATATTGGGGCAATCCTGGCTCCTACCTGTTACGTTAGCTTGGACGATAAGTTTTAGTCATACTAATGATGAATTATGTAACCTCACCATCCTTTTCCTCTGGTTTACATTATTAAACCTAATAAAATACTTTGGATTTAGAATGAAATTTAGCACATAAAACATGTAAACATAAGAGCAACAGAATCAAAGAACAGATCTGAAACTATAACAAATATTTAGAAGAGCGGGAATTCCTAGAATAAGCACTTTAATCAGAGTTAAGAGTGAGGAATCCCATATTACTGAGCCAGTGCTAGAATCTAGACTGCTTTTAAATCTAACTGACATTTACATTAAATCCATGGTACTACGTAAGCTCAGTGGGTATTGATGAACTTTTTATAGTTTTTCACTTAATAATTCAATTTCCTCAATTTTCATTTTTTTTTTGACTTGGATATTTAGAATTTCCACAAAATGCACAGAATATTTTTCTTATTTTAGTGCTTGTATTTTAGCTTATGTACATTATTTGCTATCACCAGGGGCATATGCTTATTTAACCATGGATTAATAACGGCTTAATAACCATTGATTACATCAGACAAATTCTTACATTTCTTTCAACTTTTAAGTTGCCCTGATTCTTTCTCAGAGCAGTTTTTCTTGTGAGAAATTACAATAAAATGTGGCACAAGAGGTCCTCACAGATGATAAGAAAGACCTCGTGTTCTTAAAGTGGAAAGGGGCCTAGGGAGAAACTATGCCCTGGAACACACCACTGAACTTTGCATTTCAATTTCTTTGCAGCAATTAAAACATCCAAACCTCGTGAACCTCATTGAGGTGTTCAGGAGAAAAAGGAAAATGCACTTAGTGTTTGAATACTGTGATCATACACTTTTAAATGAGCTAGAAAGAAGCCCACACGGGTAAGTACGCGGACCCTGAAGTGTGGTGTGGCCAGTCCTCCTGTTTCAGCCTATGTAGAATTAGCTGGCAAATTTCAAATCCCAGACCCGGCTTCCTCCTACCCAGATGCATCTGGGTACCTGCACTTTCAGGATGTGCTCAAAAGGCAATCAGATAGTGACCTAGAGACAGTATAACTAGGAAGACCAACCTGTACCTATAAATCCCAGTTCATTTTGAGGCTAAATTGTATACTGGATCCTCTGAATTCAAGGACTGAGCCATGGTTCACTATTAGGAAATGTAGTCATATAATTCACTAATAAGTTAAAAATACATGTGGTCAGTGAAACTGAAATACTGGTAAGTTCAACATACTTTCCTGATTATTTTAAAAAATGAAAACCTGAGCAACTAGGATTTAAAAAATACTTCCTTACTCATACATGACCCCTCTTCAAACTGACAACTCATTTCATAGTCACTGGAAAAATACTAAAGGAACTTCAGTTAAATGGAAAATAAGACAAGGTCCTCAGTTTTCACCACCAAAATACAGCATTGGTCTGAGAGCCAGTGTAATGCAATAAGAAATATATCCTTTTTTTTGTCCTTTTTTTTTTCCTTTTTTGAGACATTGTCTCACTAAGCAGTTCAGGCTGTCCTTGAGCTCACTTTGTAGCTCAGGCTGGCCTCAAACTCACAATGATCCTCCTGCCTCAGCCTCCTGAGTGCTGGGATTACAGGCATATGCCACCACGCCTGGCTTACAAATACAATTTTTAACAAGATTATCTCCCAATTAGAAAATATATTCATTCAAAAGATTTCAGTGAATGCATGCCATGTATTTGGCTAAGTGCTAAGAATATACCTTGAACAAAACATACAAAACTTAGCCTAACCTTAGGGAGCTTGCATTCTGGTGGACATTAAAAAAGAGAATAATTTTTAAAGGGAAGACAACAATACACTGATAAAAACATGTTTATTTTCTCTACCAAAGAAATTTAAAATGTTTGTGAAGTATCATTTCTCACCTATTCAGTTTGGCAGATTCTTCAAAAATCAGTTTGCTCAGTACTGTCAGTCATGGAATCAGGTCATCTCACAGTTAGAGAAAATGTAATTAGTTGGATAATCTGGGAATATGTATGAATGTATTTTAAAACTTTTTGTCTTTGGCCAAGAGATTTCATTTAGAGAAATATATAACAGGACAATATTTGGACAGGGGCAAAATGTTATGCATAAGAATACTAAAGCATCATTATTTTTAAAAAATGGAACTGGCCTAATTTTTCAAAAGTAAAGAATTGGTTAGGGCTAAGGCAGTCACTCAGTGGCAAAGCCCATGAAGCTATGCAGTTCAGGCTGGCCTTGAGCCCACTTTGTAGCCAAGGCTGGTCTTGAACTTGCAACGATCCTTCTGCCTCAGCCTCACGAGTGCTGGGATTATAGGCGTGCACAATCCCCAGCACCACAAGAGAAGAATAAAAAGACATAGTCACGTGCATTGTAATAGCTACACAGTGATACAATATACATCTTCTCCGTTAGAAAGAATAATATCTTGGTGAAATAGTCATGAAATGCTATGCCAGGGGCTGGGGATTTAGCTCAGTGGCACAGCACCTGTCTGGCAAGCGCGACATCGTGAGTTCGATTCCTGGTACTGGAAAAAAAACTAACTAACTAAATAAATAAAAAAGAAATGCTATGCCAAAAAGTGGGGTAACAGTAGCATTTTACTCTTTTTTTTTTTTTTTTTTTTTTCTCCGGTACCAGGAACCGAACTCACGACCTTGCGCTTGCCAGGCAGGCGCTTTTGCCGCTGAGCTAAATCCCCAGCCCCAACAGTAGCATTTTAAATGTAATTAAAATTTATTTTGAATTTTTCCAATATTCTAGCAAATACATGTACTACTTTTAAAATAAAAATATAAGTTGGATGTGGTGGTGTACACCTGTAATCCCAGTACTTAGGTGGCTGAGGTACAAGGATCGCTGAGTTCAAGGGCAGTATGGGCTACATAGTGAGACCATGTCTCAAATAACGTAAATAAATAAAATAAAAATATAAAGCACCGTTAAAACGGTGATTTAATTTATCCTTCTACTTTATTGGAAACTACTGGGAGGAGGCTGGGATGTTTGTGGGGATGTGAAAGGAGATAAAGTTGGGGAGATTAATAAGTGAAATGATTAAAACTCTGACAGGCTAAGGTAATGAGACTGGATTTTATTCTAGGATATTAAGGGTTTACGGAGAACAAGTCAGTTCGTCTCAGATGATAACAGTGAAATCAGGCTTTCCATCAGTGAAATCAGGCTTTCCATCAGAAGTTTACAACAAATTAAAGACAGCGGGTCCCGCAGGCAGCGTCAGTGCTCTGGCTGAGTTGCCCGGGGAGCAGGCTCTGAGCCGCGCATTCTGAATTTCCTCCCTATGATGCCTGTTAACTCATTCGGACTCAGACGGACATGTCTCATTTTTCCCTTCAGGTTTTCATTGTTGCTTTCGGTATTTATTCTTACACTCAAGCCATAACACTTAAACATTGGATATTGATTTCTACTGGAAATTGTATTTCATTCCAGAATGCTTTGAAAAATGCTGCCTTGTCCGAATAATGCTGCAGTGCTCTCTGGTCTGAACACGGCGACCCTTTCTGGTCTGAACACGGCGACCCTTTCCTCTTTGATAACTACCTTGTCTCTGGAAGAGCAGTGGTGTTTGTTCCAAACTGCCATTTTGTATGGATGTTTTGCCGGTGATGCGCTCTGCCTCCTTGGAATGTGAACAGAAGAGCAAAAGCTGTGGCCCAGTGAGACGCCTTTAGACGTGCTCTTCCTCAGCAGTAGCGCAGGACTTGCCTATCAAATTAATTTGTGCTCGATTCCATGTTACCAGTGCTGGGAATCACAGTAGGCACGTTTCTGAGCCCCGCAGCCTCCCTGTTTCCCAGTTCCCTGCGGCCTTTGGATCTTGCCCAGCGTTCTGTTGCTACATGGTTAGGGCCATGTCCCTCCAAAAGACTGATACCCATTTCCCTTCCTCTCCACCACCGTTGCCCCAGTCTAAGTCACCAGATCTCTCTTGGCTTGCGGAGTTACCTCCGGACTTATCTGCCTGCACTTTGCACTAGAAATCCGTTCTCCTCTCCGTGGCTTTTAGTATAGAGTACAAATTGTTTACCAAGATCTAGATCTCTGTGCCCCTGCAGGGCTTGCAGGGCCTTTGCATCTTCTCCCCTCGTGCTCCGCCTCTGCTGCCTTCCTAGTTTCCCCATCCTTCCAGTTCTTTCCCCCCTCAGGGACTCTGCTGTCCTTCTGCACTGGCCTGTGACCCATCTTCCGGCCTTATCTGATGCCAGACCCGGATCTCCTGAGTCCAGGCAGGTGTTAAAGCCCGGAGGTTTAGGGGGTAAATTTCCCGATGAACTTAGGGAATGTTACTCCATGTTTATACAGGAGGAAAAGTAGAATTTAAATAACTTGCCGGGGGTTATAAAGCTAAGCAGGGACAGCATGGCTGGGATTTGAATTCTGTCAGTACGTCTTAGAGTGCTGAAAATGGCTATACCCTTCTTCTGATCGCTGTTGCCTTGGGTTTGGCTCTAGGTAAAAGAGGGGGTAGGGGAAATTTATACCAGAACCCAGGGCAAGAAGCAGACATTTCAGGTAGAAAATACTGAGAATTACTGGTCCTCTCACCATATTACTCACAGGGCTGCCCCCAGACAGCAGATGCCAAGAGCGCACCATCGTAAGTGTGATCCGGGATACGGAAACCACGCTGAGAACTTTCTCCGAATATTTCAGACTTACATGGCGACATTTTGTCACTAGTGCCATAACTGAGTCATGCATTGGCCATCCTCTAATTCTATAAAACTAGTTATGCATACATGAATTCAGTTTTTAAAAAGTGATCTAAATATATTATTTAAATATCCAAACATGGCCAGGTGTGGTGGCGCACACCTGTAATCCCAGCACTCTGGAGGCTGAGGCAGGAGGATCGCTGTGAGTTTGAGGCCAGCCTGGGCTACAAAGTGAGGCGAAGGCCAGCCTGAACTGTATAGTGAGACCCTGTCTCAAAAAGACCAAGATAAAAAAAATCCAAATATGACAAAATGTGTCCGAACGATAGATATGCTTTGAATAGTAAATAATTATCAAATTTTAATTTTAGATCTTACAGTTGATGCTTAGCAAAAGAAACTCTTGTGCTTCAGATTTTTGAAAATATGCATATAACCTCATCTGCATCAGAAAGGCTGGAAGACTAAGAAAAATATTTAGAGCATAAGTAACAGACTAATATATGCTGAGCCTTTGTAAATGAGTAAGAAAAGAGTAAACCATCCATTCAAAAAGCAATAAAGGCCCTGGAGTGGAAATTCAGAAAATAAGAAATGTAATATCCTATAACCATATGAACATTAATAAACACAGAAAATGAATACAATGCAATTAAAATGCAAAATGAAATACTTTTCTCATTTAACCATAGATTGGCAAACCACACTGGCAAAATCAAATGTTGGCGTGATAACGAGGAGATAGGGAATTGTCTGCGCAGTGTTTGGTGGGAGGGTAAATGGCTTAACCTTCCTAAGAGAGGGTAGCTTGGCAGTGCATAAATGTGGAGGCATCCTCAAAGGACGGGGATATGAGTAACGGAAAGGCACCAGCAAAAAATATTGCACAGAGTGTGACTGCTTTAATGTGCAGAAATCATTACATAAGGTAGAACATTCTCAGACAGAATATAAGTTTCACAGATCCTCATTTCCCCACTGGAAAGTATATTGGCCAAAGGTATCATCCAGTACTGTCTGCACAAAGTGATAATTATGTCAGGAGCAGGAAGCTCACAGCCTTCCATTCCTGCGGGACCTTTATTCTCCTTGGCCTCTTCTCTAGCTGTAAGCCTTCCTGCTTATCAGATACGTGAACTGTTACACAGCAATTCCAGCGTGTGCTTGAGTGTTTTTCACCAAATGAATGCAATGGATTCAAGTTCTTTTTTCCCAGTTCACCTTTTTCTCTTCAAAACATTTCATGTCTCAGATTTACCTAAAGTTCATCTCTGCAAGATCAAACTTCAATATGTACCTACCATTGGTTCCAGAAATACCATTTCTAAAATTTATCTTTAAAAGATAGTTGCAGCCGGGCGTGGTGGCGCACACCCGTAACACCAGCACTCAGGAGGCTGAAGCAGAAGGATTGCTGCGAGTTCAAGACCAGCCTGGGCTACAAAG